CAGTAAGTTTATCTATATCATGTATTAAACATTTATAATTTATTATGAATCTCATTCATTTATACTAAATTTTTAGGATCTTGGAAGTTCTTCTGTGAATTCCACAACTTCAACATTTAATGGTATGTTTATTAAATTTTAAATTTTTCAAATTTAAATAATTCAGAATTTATTTTTAAGAATCGCTGAATTTATTTTTAAGAGTTACAAGCTTAATTGTTCATATTTTTTTGACCTACAAATAGAATCGACTGCCTATAGCAAACGTCTTAAATCGCCATCATATTATGCAGAGAGATTGAATAATCTAAGAAAAGGAAAAGGAATGTCTGACAATTTTGCATCAAATATAAATGATCTAGCGGAAATGTATTCACAACCAATTGTAAAATATTTTAATGAGAACTCAACAGTATTGTTGGAACCATTGCCAAATCAGATGAAGGATGTTGGCAGTTGTTTAAAGTATCTTCAATTATGGGATCAACACTTTGAACATTATCAAAAAAAGATCATCAACCAACACTATAAAATGCTAAAACTAATATATTCTTTGTCTGATTTCTTTTTTGTATTGTTGATACTTTGTCAACAAGAACAAGAAGAAGAAATGAGCCCAATTGCATTGGAAAAGACTACAGATAATTGGAAAGGTAATGATTTAAAGGCTCGGATTAACAAAAAATTTGGCAATATTAATTCACGCTCTATTTTGAGAAAGTGGACAGCATGTTGAAAGCTGCACCATTTTTTATGGGTAACAAATGTTATACCAAATGAGATGATCGAAGTCAAGCTAAATGCAAATTATTTTCTCAGTGCAAGTGAAAGTGAATATAATGTCCTGATTAAGGAATTGTTGAGAAATCCTGAATTTCCCAAATTCCATAACATTAAAGGGGAAAGTATATTAGAATTAGTAAATATTGCAAAGAATTTTACACAATTTAATGATGATAATTGTTTGTAGCAATTGCTTAATTTTTGTTATTTTTTTTTGCTTTTTGCTCTATTTTTTTTTTTTTGAAAGTGGAACAGACCATCAATAATAAATGAATCATTATTAAAAACATGTGGTAATTACCAATTAGTAATTAAGATTTAAAATATATTTTATTATTTAAAATTATGATATATTTAATTCCAAAAGCTTAGTCTTAAATAGCA